CAGCCGTTGGCTTCCTTGTTCTCTTCTTCATGCCCAGCTGCTCTTGTCCGTCCAACCTCTCCAGTGGTCTTTTCACTCGAACAAAAGTGCTGCCTTGCTGTGCTAGAAACTAACCCAATGTAATCCCAGCACTCGGGAGGCTGAGGCATGGAGGATTATTGCGAGTTCGAGACCAGCCTGGGCTACAAAGTGAGCTCAAGGCCAGCCTGAACTGCATAGAAGACCCTGTCTCAAAAAAATAAACAAACAATACAAGCTACAGATGAACACAAATAAGTTACTTGTGTCTGATAATAAAATAATGCACATTCCAGAAAATTTGTAAAATGTAGAAAAATATTGATAAGAAAGCAAAATCTGCTTGTGGTTCTTTCTCCCGGAAACCAGCACCTGTGTCTACAATCTACCGCGCTTCTGCTGGTACTTTTCCCACTCGGCTGTCTGTCTGGGGCGAGCCCCTGCTGAAGTATTACCCGGCTTTCCTCCTTCGGGCTCCCCACCACCACCGCCGCAAGCCTTTCCCCACTCAAGTGAGGCTGCTCCGACTTCACTGCCCCGGGGAAGGCACGAGTCATCAAAGAATTCGGGGTACAAACACAGATTTGAACGAATAAGTAATGGGGCAGGAAAGATTCCCTAGGCTAGGAGAGGAGGGCGGACAAGGAGGGACGAGGAGAAAATGCTCTAGGATCCCGAGGGAGAGAGATGCAGGCCTGCGGCCCCCTTGCCGAGGGACAGAGCTCCACGCGGGTCTGTGGGTCTTCAGAGAGCGGCCTTCTCCGTCCCGCTTCCGAGGCTGAGCCTGGGGAAGGAGGAAGACGGTATCGGAAGGTTACACATTTCATAGTTATAAAGAAAGAGGCTGGGGGGTAGCTCTGGGATAGAACGCTTGCCTAGCAAGCCTGAGGCCCTGGGTTTGACCTCCAGCACCACACAGACCAACAGTGATGAAGTTACGTCTCTTCCCTACACCTCAGTTTATGCTCTGTCCCTAACATACAGATGACCCCCAAGGTCTGAAGATTCTGTACCCATGTATTTAACCAACTGTGAATTGAAAACAGTTGGAAAAAATGCACTAGCACTGAACATACACAGACTTTTTTTTGACAGAGGGTTTTGCTATGCAGTTCAGGCTAGTCTTGAACTCACTCTGCAGTCCAGGCTGGCCTCGAACTCTCAGTGATCCTCCTGCCTCAGCTCTTGAGGGCTGGGATTATAGATGTGAGTGCCACAGCTTACTCAGAATTTCTTTTTCTGGTATTCAGTAAACAATATAAGAGGGCCACTAATCATACAGCATTTACATTGTATTATGTATTACAAGTAACCTAGAGGTGATTCAAAGTGTATGGGAGAAGCCGGGCATGGTGGTGCACCCTTCTAATCCCAGTACTGCGGAGGCTGAGGCAGGAGGATCATTGTGCGTGTGAGACCACCCTGAGCTACAAAGCTCAAAGCCGGACTGACTGTATAGTGAGACCCTGT